AATTTTGGTGTAACAGCATAGGCGAGTATTCACTCTGAAAATTCTATTAAAACTTCTTCCTTCTGCTTGTAAAGCTGGATTCTCTTCACATACCTCAATCATAACTGAAAAGACTGAAAGCAGAAGCAAGAGTGATTTGCAAAAATATGATTTTTAGAACATATTTATTCATTTAAAAAGCTGCATCAATATATAATTAGTTTATTACTATTAAATAAACATTTCTGGAATAGTCACCTAATTTCTAATGCAAAAAATATTAATAGATATAACCCACAAAATCAAAATCTCTTTGAGGTTCTCAACAATTTCTAGGCAAGCAAAGGGGTCCTAAAACCAAAGACCTATAAGCATATCCTATTTCTCATGAGGGCATTTCCAGAACACTACCCTGGTTTCCCACCTCTACTATGTAAGGAAGTTAACTACCACATTTCCATGAGCTGGAATACTTAAAACATATACACCATCCTCCCTCAGCTAGTGATTTCAAATCAGATGCCTGCAAGGTCACTGGTACATCTTTATTTCCAATGTCTCCCTACAAGTCCTCAATCATGTCCAAATACTTTCATTCTTCTGTCTTAGGAATGTAGTTTTTAAATACCGAAAGAAAGAGCAACATTTTATTCTGTGATGTTCAATTTTTTATGCACTATTTACAAAAAAAAAGTAAAGCAAACCATTGGTAATTGGCAAAGTGGAACAGGAAGAAAAAAATTCAAATATTTTTTAGAATCAATCACTTAATTATTAGAAACTCATTCAAAAGTACCCATGTACTGATAAGTAAGAAAAACAGAAAGTTTGCTTATCTAGCCAAAATGACTCTTAGTATTCTAGACTACAGCAAAGTAAAATTAGCCTTTATTTGAAAATTAAATGTCTTAACTGCCCACCCCCTTAATCTAAATAGAGTTATAGAAGACAAGATGGAAAGGAAATTATAAATTTGAAAGATACTACCAAAAATCTAGAGCTACAGTGCTAAGTACGTCACTTCTAAGAGAATTTCCAAGACTAATAAAGGAAAAGTTTTGGGCCCCAGAGGAATGAGTTTTCACTACTGGGCCAGCACTGTGGCTCAGTGGGTTAAAGCCACAGTCTGCAGCGCTGGCATCTCTTAAGGGCACCAGTTCAAGTCTCCACTGCTCCACTTCCAATCCAGCTCCATGCTAATGTGCACAGGAAGGCAGAGAAAGATGGCCCAAGTGCTTGGGTCCCCTACACCTACATGTGAGACCCGGAAGAGGCTCCTGGCTTCAGCCTGGCCCAGCTATAGCTGTTGTGGCCATTTGGGGGAGTGAACCAGCCTTTCAAATAAATAAATCACTCCTAAAACCCAAGACTCTCAAATCTTCTAATACTTAATGCTGTACTTTAGTTGTAATCAAATAAAACTACATAAACATGATAATGGAAAACAGAGTAAGAAAGAAGAAAGCCAAAATACAGCATATTAAAGATAATCAGATAATAATCTTAAGTCTTTTTTGTTTCAAATATGTCAAAACAAGTTAATGACTTTTAAAGATATTTATATCTTTTTTTAAAGGTTAAATTTAGGGGGCCTAATGCAGTACCCGCATCCCATGTTCAAGTTCTTTCTGTTCTGCTTCCAATCCAGTTCTCTGTTAGGGAAGACAGCAGAGGATGGCTCAAGGGCTTGGGTCCCTTCCACCCACATGGGAGATACTGATGGACCTGGGTCCTAGCTCCCGCCTCTGGTCTGGCCCAGACCTAGCTGTTACAGCCATTTAGGAAGTAAACCAGCAGACTGAAGATCTCTCTTTCTCTCTCCCTGATTTTTAAATAAATAAATAAATCCTTAAAAAATAAATCAAAGTTTGGGGGCGGGCATTTAGTTCAGTGGTTAAGATCTCCATGTCCCACATCAGAAAGCTCTGGCTCCTGACTCCAGCTTCCCACTAAGGCATAACCTCGGAGGAAACTAACTAGGAAACTAACGTTGAGAAATTGGGTTCCTGACACCCATGTAATTATGAAACACAATTTGAATTCTTGCTGGCTCCCAACTTCAGTTTTGGCCCAGCCCTAGCCATCGTGAGCATCTGGAGAGTGAACCAACAGATGGGAGTGCTCTGTCTTCCAAATAAATAAATTTTTAAAAATAAAAGTTCACATAAAAAGAGTTCATCAGATATATATGTATATATATATACATATCTATCTCTGAAATTTAAATTTTTATATTATATGTAAAATCAAATTGGCTGAATTTTTCAAGAAACAAAGATGGCTTTCTTCTTGACATATTCAATACATTCCAGTTCCATTAACAGATACCAGTAGTCACCAGAAGTCAAAAGGTTTCTCTGGGACCGGTGCTGTGGCGTAGCAGGTAAAGCTGTGCCGGTTCCGGCTGCTCCACTTCCCATCCAGCTCTCTGCTATAGCCTGGGAAAGCAGTGGAAGATGACCTAAGTGCTTAGGCCCCTGCACCCATGGGGAGACCCAGAGAAGTTCCTGTCTTCGAATTGGCGCATCTCCAGCCGTTGCGGCCAACTGGGGAGTGAACCAGCGAATGGAAGACCTCTCTCTCTCTGCCTCTCCTTTTCTCTCTGTGTAACTCTGACTTTCAAGTAAATAAAATAAATCTTAAAAAAAAAAAAAGGTTTCTCAACTTCAGAAATTTATACAACATTCTAACATGCATACCTGTAAAAGGTGCTAAACACTTGTTAACATAAAAACTGGAATTTCAATCAACAGAAAGTATCTCTGTCTTGATACCTGAAGCTTCACATAGACAATTCGCGTTAGCATTAGTGAAATCCGAGAATACAGCTCCAAGCTTCAAAATGAATGTACTACCCTAGAGGCTTAACAGTTTTAACTTACATGTTGTTCGGTCAAAAAGAAATATCCCACTGTGGCCATACAGGCACTTGGTGTGAACTGTAACTTTCACAAAGCATGTTCTATGATTTCTTGCATTAACAAACTCACTAGTTTAGATTACATACAAATCTATCATAATCTACACTGTTGGGAAAGATTCTGGTTATTTGGAAGTTCAAGACAAAATATTCCAACCCCTCAAAATTGCCAAGTATCAGGAAAAGTTCAAGTTACCTCAGAAACTCATAATCTAGGTTTTATGGCTCATATAATACAAAAAAAAAATGGTTCATGGAATTCATTTTGGTGCAAAAAATTCTGAAACCTATGCATATTTTTTCATAAACCATATTTTCCATGAACTTTCTGAAGACCCCTCAGAGATGTCAACAAACAATTCAACACTGTTCCTCAGTATCCAGTACAGAGTCTGGTTTATATTAATGGCTCAATAAATACTTGAGAAATGAATAAAATAATGAATGATGAAAAGGCATAGTTTTTTTTAAAAAGTCTCAACTCACAATACTCTCATTAAGCATCTTAATGCAACTGTAAAAGTAAAGGGATGCTAAAATTAACAACTGCCCTATTTACAAAATACATTCTAAAACCTCCATTTACAAATTTTCCAGTGCAAAAAGGAAAATCATGTGGTGGATTAAATTCGAGTCATTCAATAAATAAACTTCCATCTTCTGATAATGAAAACTCGGTGCTGGGGTGAGATGAAAGGAGGAAATGTCTGTCAGTGTATTCGGTATGTTTAATGGATGCCATAAATCAAGCCCTTTCCATGAATTTTCTAGAGCATATTCATGCCAATCTTTGAGCCTATTGTCACTTTCACACATGCTCACAGGAACAAAATGACAAAGAATGCTATGCCTGAACCACTGGATTCAGGGCACAAAACACTTGATTAACAATTGTCAAGACTCTGAATAGTAAATACCGACAGATATTTTCAAAATATATTAATCCCACCGTTTCCTCATAATCGAATCCTTTATTTCTTTAAAAGATTCACCAGACTATCAGACTTCCAGAGCTTTTTTTTTTTTAATATGTGCCTACAGTCTCCTTGTACGAAATAACTGGGAACGAACAACCCATTTACCAATCGCTGATGAACACCGCCAAGCGTTTTCCAGACAAAAGAGCCTTAAGAGATTCCATGCGCACTTCTCCTTCCCCCAGAAATGCATGCTCTCCCAAATTTCATTTTATGTCGTATACCCAAAGTTAAATACAGCAAGTTGAAATTTCAGTCGAAAGCACTCCGGTGCCTTACTAGCTGTGTAACTGCTACATCTGGCGGCAGCACGCTTGCATGCAAGAAGCCAGCAAACTTAGAAAACAATTGTAACCGATCTGGAGCGTGACTGCAGTAACCTTTACGCAGCTATTTCCCACAAAACCCACAACCCTGTCAGAGAAGAACAGTAGCCTCCTTGCACCCGACAAGATAACACACGAGCACGCAGGAGGCGATGTCGAACGAGAGAAAGTTGCAACCATCTGGAGGGGGTGGTTTTAAAAGCCTGCCCACGAGTCAGTCTGCCGTTTGAATTGCTCTAGGGGGCCACGCAGGGGATCAAAGTGCGCTAGATAAATCCGGCGGCTCTACCCCCAAAGGGCAGCGACCCTGCAAGCGAGGGGCATCCTCCAGGTGCCGCCGGGTAGCGGAGCTCGCAGAGCGGGGACCGCCTCTATGGGAGGAGTGCGCCGGGGAAGGGGAGGGGGCTCCAGGATGAAGGCTCCAACCGGAGGGAAAACCCACCGGGGACAGGAGGCCAGGAGGTTAAGAGTGCCGAGTGTCCTAGCAAATGGAGCAGGAAGGGGGCTCGCGGCCGGGGGCAGGCTTCCCACCCTCGCAGGACCGGCTCGGAGGAACCCCAGGCGAGTCTCTGCGCCTCGCCCCGTCCCCACCAGCGCGCACCCCCTCGCCCGTCCCCTCCGCCACCCGCGAGCCGCCACCCACAGCCACAGCGCACTACCTCCCCTTGGCCCGGCGGCCTCGCGTCCACCTCGCCACCATCCCCCACCTCGGGGTCGGGCGGGGGAGACCCGGGGGGCGCGGGGGCCGCTGCGCGGGCGCAGAGGCCCGGGAGCGGGCGCGGGCGCGGTGGCGCTTACCTTCCCTGGGCCTCCCGGATGGCGGCGTGTGATTCAGCAGGGACCTGGCCGCCGCCGCCGAGCCCGGGGTTGGAGACGTGGAGAGCTGGGACCAAGATGGCGGCCCCTCCAAACTTCCACTGCTACTTTGGACACTCATCAAGCTACTTTCTGGGAACCCGACTCCCCCCCTGCGACGGCAGCGGCGGCAACGGCACCGGCACCCGCCTCCGTCATGGCGGGGGCCGCGCTGAGGGCGAGCGAGAGCGCGAGGGCAGGGAGGGGAGAGTCAAGGGGATGGGGGAGGAAACCGAGAGCAGGGGAGGTGGGGAGGGACGAGGTGAGGGAAGGAGAGGGGACGGGGAGGAGGGAAAGGGGGAGAAGCGAGGGAGCGGGCGGGCGCGCCCGAGAGGAGGCGGAGGGACGGAGCGCAGCGGCGGAGGCGTCGAGGGGGCGCCCGCCGGGGCCGGGGTCGGAGCGCGGGCGGAGCGCGGGCTGCGCCGGCTGAGGAGACTTCCGCGGGCGGAACCTGCCGGCACCTCTGCAGTGCGTCGGCCCCCGGCGTCGCCCGGCCGGCAGCGGCGGTGGCGGCGGCGGCGGCGGCGGCGGGCGGTGGGTGGCGGCTGAGGCGGCGGGGTAACCTCTGCATCAGTTACAGGCGGCGGCGGCGTCACGCGCCGCCTGTGCAAACACTATCGCGAGGCTCCTGCGCCTCCGGTAGCGGCGGCGGCGGCGGCGGCGGCCGCAGCAGCGGGCATGGGGGAGGGCCCTGCCGGGGGCTGGGGGCGGGGGGTAAGGAGGGAGCTAGCGCGCGCGAGGGGAGGAGACGCGGGCGCCGGGCGGGTTGCAGCGCGGCGCGGGAGCCCGGGGTCGAGGGACTCGCGTGCGCGGGGGCAGCCTCCTCGCGGCGGCCGGAGGGAGGCGCGCCCCGCTCGCGCCCCCGCCGCGCCGCTCGGGCTCCCGCGCCGCTGCCACCTGCCTCCCCCTCTCCGCCTCGGCAGCGCGCCTGGCTCCAGACCCACACCCAGCCGGGGGAAGGAACGCTTCTGCTGCCTCTCGGCTGTCGCGTCTCGGGAGTTCGATGTGATGGTTTCTCAAAATGGAACTGAAAAGTTGCGAGTTGCTTCTTTCTCGCCCCTCAGCACGGCGAGGGGCGTGTGCGCCTCCACGTCTACAGAATGGGAGTAATTACCAAATAAAGGAGCCGAGGAGAAAAAGTGGGGAGGGGGTGCGGCGAGGGGAGTGGGAAAACCAAACTTTCTAATGTTTTCTGAAAAAGACGATGTTGAGTAAAGGAATTGAGAATCACCACCGGTGTTGTAGATCTATGTGCAGAATAGCAGTGCTTTGTTTTAAAACTGTAAGTGGAAAATCTAAACGGAAAATTTTGATCACTGAATTCACGTATTAGAAAACTGTACAGGGTTCATCTTGTAGAAGAGGGTACGATTTCTAGAAATTTCCAACGTGTTTCCAGTGCCTCTGCTGAGCAGACTACAAAAATCCCAAAACAAATTACAGCATTTGCTATAATTTATAGATACAGTGTAGCTGTTTCCACGCCCATACACGTACACACACACACACACACACACACACACACCAGGGACTGGGTATCGCCTACAGGAAAGAGCAGCCTAACAGTTCAGGAAAAACAGCAAGGTTATTGCTCTTTTTGAAAACCAAATTGCATCGAACACGAAAAAAAGATTATGATGCAGAGCAACTGTATAGACGTGAGGAAATGACATGATTACCAGGGGGACGAAAATGCCACTTCTATTTTTTATTTTTATGACTTGGCATTTCTCATAGTTAATGTTTTGTTCAGATAAACTCACACTAGAATAGAGCCTTGGTTGTCAGCCTCAGAAATAATTTTAGTTTTCTTGTGCTTTAGATACTCCAGTGAGGTTTTTTGGCGTGTTTCACTTTTCAAACTTAACAGGGAGCTCCCACAACTTTATTGAGGTATAATTGACGTACAGTAAGCCGCACATGTTTATGATTTGGTACACTGATGGGTATGCACGCCTGAAACCACCCCTGCAAGAATACATCTTTACCCTCCAAGGTTTAAGGTTTATCCTACCCCTTTGTGGTTCCTTCTTGGGTCTACCTCTACTCCCACCCCACCCCTATAGATCTGTTTCCTGTCACTAGAGAGTAGTTGGCTTTTTCTAGAATTTTAGGTAGGTGAAAGCATACGGTCTATACTCTTGTCTGGCTTCTTTCATTCCATGATGACTGAGACTTATCTGCACTGTTGCATGGATCAGTAGCACCTGTTTGTCGCTGAGTAGTAGTAGTCCATTGTGAGAACACACCACACTTTGTTGGCGCAACTGTTGATGGACACTCGCACTTTCCACGTTTGGGCCATTATGAGTAATGCTGTCGTGAGCATGTCTTGTGCAACTCTTTGTGGACACGGGCTTCTCTTTTGCTTAGGCACTTACCATTAGATTTGTATACCAAAGTTCATGCACTCTAACGCCATGTAGATAAATACATGCTCTTACTGTATTTTTGGGTATCCACTTAGCAGATTGTGGTGAAAAGAGCGTAAGACAGGAAGGAAGTTGAGACCTAAGTGTTAGTCTCAGCAGGTTATCATCCTTGATTTCAGTTTCCTCGTCTGTGAAAAGGAGGTTAGTCACTGCCTGATCTCTTATGCTGCTAGCCGTTCCCAGACTACAAGGGCCTCGAGTCCTCTTCAAGATGGTAAACCAAGCCCAAGCAAAGAGGTTTGGAAACCATAGGTTGTCTTCCTCCCAACTTGCTCCAGAGCTTCAAGTTACCTTTATCCCAACCTACATTCATTTTAAGCAGACTGAGGATCACAGTATATGCATAGTCAAATTACTCTGTATGGTTTTGTTGTCAGAGCGGCCTAAGAGGGACAATTGAACATTCATTTCCTGCTTTCTTGTACCTTACAATGAAGGAAGCACACACCAACCTACAAAGAGGCCTCTATCAGCAAAAGGGAGCCAATTAAGCAAACTGTCACTTGGCCTGAAAATGGAATGCTGTCTCATCAGTTTTAAACCGTTTAGAGACACAGACAGCTAGCTCCCATCTGCTGGTTCACTTCTCAGATGCCCACAATGGCATGCCCAGGGCTGGACAGGAAAGCTGGGAGCCAGGAACAAAATCCAGGTCTCCCACACTGGGGGCAGGAATCCAATTACTTGAGTCATTATCCACTGCCCTAAGGTCTACACCAGCAGGAAGCCATAGTCAGGAGACAGAGCTGGGCATGGCAACCAGGCACTCCAATGTGGGACCCAGGAGTCTCAACCAATAACTGTTCAGATAAACACCCATCCCTATGTCATCATTTTTTAATACAGACAAAAGAATACCAAAAAGGAAGACAGTTTCACACTATAGTGAGTGAAAAAGTGGATGTGACTCCAAATCATTTGTAACTGTGTATAAGAAATAAGTTGAAGGATATACCCCAAAAAGTCAGTGGTTAGCCTTGGTTTGTAAGATTGGGTAGTTAGGGCTATTTCTTTTATGCTTTTCTGAATTATGTACAATGAATCATGTGTTACTTTTTATACTCAGGGAAAGTTCAATAAAGACTTTTTAAGGCATTTAAATATGAAAGGGCCTCTAGACACATTATGCAAATGATTATAGAAAATTATTATGTCAAAAGCATGACTTTTAAATGGTAAACAGAAGCTCCTGTACAGCGTGCACACTTGCTAGCACATAGGCATCTGAAAATGTCTGATGGAGCAACAGGATGGCCAGAGTGATAGACTGCACAACAGGAAAAAGATGTATCCACCACTTGCTTGCAGAGTTGGTTTCAGGCACATCTATGCATCACAACTCATCAAATCACCTGAAGGAAAGAAATCAGGAGAGTGCAGATCCCGACAGAGGGACACCTGCAATTCTGTGGTGAAGGAGAAATCTCAAGAGCCAGGAAAAAAAAATCATCGGAAGGGGTTTTTTGGCAGCCTTCTTGGGAAAATGTTCCCAGAGGGAAAGTCAACTTGAGAACACAGGTGTGAACTGAGCAAGCAAAACAAAGCAGCAAAAACTGCTTTGAAAGAATCTGGAAGAATGTAAGGAGAGTTCTGTGGATCAAATGCTCTGTGAGGACGGGGGCTTGAGCTTCCAGGACGCTGCCTGGCTCTGTCAAGGTGTTTGGATGGAGTGAATGAGTGATAAACAACAATGGGCTGGGATAGAGGGGAGGGAGCAATGCAGGAGCGGTGTTCCAGGGTCTCCCTATGGACGGTTTATAGGCACAAGGAGGAGATCTGAGGTCTGATATACGGTATGACAGAAATTTACAGCTACACTTAGTAGACTTGTTTCTACTTAATACCACAGAAAACATACTTACAAAACACCTAATATCACAAACGCATTTGCTCCTCTTAATATTTGATTCCTTCTAAAGTCAAAGAAAAGTTTATTGCCCAAGCCACCTGGGTCCATTTCCCCCAAATCAACCACATTGAGCCTAGAGCCTAAGTGAGGTGTCCTTTCTCATTACTCCCAAACAACGAGTACTGAAGCCGGTCCATCCTGCCTTGAAAGCAGTTGTGTCTTTCACTTCCCAACTCAGTGTTCAGTGCAGCCACAAATGTAGCTTGCAGTCAGCCTTGAGATGAGTATTTCCACCCCGTGAATGGGCAAAAGTTACAAATCAGGGCTCTCTCCCACCGCTCAGAGCCAGTTATTAAGCAAACATTCACCGGCACAGCACTGCTCCTGTAGTACAGGTACCATTGATCTGCTGCCCTTGGTCCTCAGTGCCCCTCTCCCTGCTGAGGGTCTAGGAGGGGCTGGGACTGTGGCTGTCATATGTACAGCTGTGTCTCCAACCCCTAGCACCTGCCTGGCATATGGTTGGTGATACATATTTGTTGAGCCAGTCAATTACCCACAGAGCTGATTAACCAGCATGTGAGCCCCAGTGCTAACTTGTTTAGAAACACCTGGGTTAGCCATCAAGCAAAGGAGGAAAGGGCAGAAGCTCCCCTACTCCACCCTCACCACACTCGTCCCTCACTGGCGGATGTGTGTGATTTGGTAAAGTTCACTTACTTTGTCAGGATTTCCAGATGAAATATAAATTTTGTCTGGATCATACTTTTACTAAAAATGATTTGTTGTCTATCTGAAATTCAAATTTAACTAAGTACCCTGTATGCTAGCTTGCTAAATCTAGCAACAGTATCCCTTTTGATCTAAGAGAAGAAATAGTTCATTTGATAGTAAAGTTGCAGATACTAAGTCCTGGGAATTCCATCCAAATACTAGATCCTAAAGCAGTTCTTATTCATGTGCACCAAGAGATAAGAACAAGAATGTCCACAGTACAACTGCTTGTCATAGCCAGAAACTGGAGGAGCCGGCGCTGTGGCATGGAAGGTAGAGCCTCTGCCTCCAGTGCCGGGATCCCCTGTGGGCGCCTTTTTGAATGCCGACTGCTCCACTTTGATCCAGCTCTCTGCTATGGCCTGGGAAAGCAGTAGAAGATGGCCCAAGTCCTTGGGCCCCTGCATCTGAGTCAGAGATCCGGAA